TGGTTGGTTGGTTGGTTGGTTGGTTGGTTGGTTGGTTGGTTGGTTGGTTGGTTGGTTGGTTGGTTGGTTGGTTGAGTGTGACAAGGGTACGTTCAAGGTGAATCAGGTACCTTTGTCCTCAAGTTTTGCATCCAGATTGTTGTTTTAAGTGTGACTACAGCAGCCATGACTTAGTTGGTTTAGATATGGTTTAGATTCAGATATATAAATACGTCCTTCTCCGGAGCGAGGTGAGGGTGTGGATTGTGTGCATTCAACGACATTTGTGACACTTTTCAGATAGGAATGCGAGACAAATTATTTACTCGTCGCCCATAAAGTACTGTCAACAAAGCTTTCGGGCAAAGTGTCAAATCAATGCACCCCCCCCGCTCAGATGGCTGTACTCAGATTAGATTCGTCAATCCCTTCTATGTCCTAAAAGGAGCGCAACATAAACGTCACTCACACTACTGAGCTCACCCGCCACGAAAACATGCCCAGTGATCCTTGCGGCTCGTGGTTCTTCAGGAGGAAGTGTGCCCTTTGGCAGCCCGACCTCCGTTCGAGCCTCAGTGCAGCACCGAGAGAAGCCTTTTTCGGCTAAACTCCCTGGAGAAGAGGACGACGGTTTCCCAGTTTTGATCCCTTGATGTCCAACAAGAAGAATCCTTCAAAATGTTGCATCCCAATGAATGAATCACTGGCCAAGGACTTCAAGACACCCACAGGATGGAGTCGCAGCCTCGGATTGATATTGAAATGACTCAGCCTTCACCTTGTTTCTGGTGCTATTTGTTTGTCCTTTCTTCCGGTGACACATTTGTGGGCGCCAACGGCTGATACAAAGAACTGAAGTCCTCAAACTACTTGGTCCACTGCTCATAGACGGCCGTGAGGTTTTGTTGGGTTTTTGGTACGTTGCAGACGTGGTAAACCTTTAGCCTGACTGGGTTTCTTACAGACTTGGGAATTGTTTGTATTGAGACCGCAACCTGACTGGGGAGGACTGAAAATGAGCGTTTCGCTACAACAAGACGCGCATGTTGTTAGTGTTATACAGTTTCCAAACTGCTTAGTGTTTGAGAGACTGGATATTTTCCTTTAAGCTTCTTGCTACTAGTAGTAAGGCCGGGAGCCCCTAGTAGCGTTCTTGCTGATGTTGTAAGTTTCAAAGTCGTTGGCCATAGGGAAATGCACATGTTTTACTTCAGTGTCGACAAGTGGTTCAAGAACTCGTGCGGAGAGTCTCTGCGGTGTTCTTGGCAGTATGCGTACATGTACACATACTCACAGACTCCCTCATTCAGCATGCCTTTTGCTTTGCAACCAAGTGACGGGGCAAGAAAGTCTTCAGACTTAACCATGTGCGATCCAACAACTGTGTACCTGCAAGACTGGGGGTCTTCTTTCCATACGGTTCTATTTCCTTTGTGAAGACTTTATGTTGATGGGCCACACTTTCGCAAGGCAACTGTTTGCTTTGAGCAGCAAACTTCAAGAGAAAATGCAGTTGCATAGCATGTTCAACGTTTGTAATGTCGAAAAGAAAAAAACACGAAACGCCACGGCGTTTAGAAGCCTTGGTCCAACTACTGTTGCCTTGTTGCTTAATAGGTGAAAACAAGGAACACAGATGGGAAAATAAACAAAACGCTCCTAGTAGCGAACATAGCTTCTAGTAGTAAGGCCAGGAGCCCCGTTCGTAGCGTCCTTTGCTCCTAGTAGCGATGCCCTTTGCTCCTAGTAGCGAGGCACTTGTTCCCCCCCGCGCGCGCGCGTTTAATTATATTTACTATCATTCTTGTTTCTACTAGCTTCTTGCTACTAGTAGTAAGGCCCTTGCTCCTAGTAGCGAGGCACTTGTTACTAGGACGATTTTTTACGTCCGGAATCTTCGAGCCTGCGATCTCCCTCGATCCGAGGTCCCAGTGGATCTTTGGAGTTTGGCGGTGCTGGTCTGGGCCTTCGGCTCGGGTCTGGGCTCTTTCACACCGACGGTCTGCGGGACTACAGAAATGGGGGACGAAGCTTGGAGAGCCCAACTAACATGGTCCCCCAGAACCGGTTCAGCACGGAATCCACAGGAACTGGTCGTTTCGGCGTGGAATCTGCCAGGATACAGCCCTGCGGCAAACTACCAGGCCAGGGTACAGATTCTGACCTAAAGGCTTGTTGATTGTGCAGGCATTTAAGAGACTCGACTGTGGGTTTTCAAGGGAGTTGAACGAATTGAACGTGAAGTACACTGTCATCTTCCTGAGAGCGTTGACCATGTGCGTTAAGCTGGGGTACAGACATGATGGGCTTATGCCAGCTTTAGATCTAGATTGAACACTTTTGAGAGCATGTTTGGAGACCATGTTTGGAACGAGGAGGTGCAAGTGTGTTGGCTTGAGCCAACGGCACACGAATAAACTACTTTGTGACAAGTGAACAAGTACCGTAATGCAGGTGATTCAAGTACCAGCCTCGACGCATCGCTTCGTTGGTGTTTCGTCTTTTTGCCGCGCGGCTGTCTCTGAACGGACGCAGGACCCCTCCTCGCCTAGCGGCCCGAAATTGGGCGCCCACAGCGTGGCAGATCAGTCCTTGTTAGCGGCCAGCAGCAAGGCCAGCCCGTGATGGATCTGTGGTGTGTCGTGTGCGTCCTTTGCTTGTGGTTGAAAGAATCTCCCGCTTGTTAAAGACATTGAAGCCTTTGAGGACCTTTGGTGGGAAAGACCGGGAGTCAGTTTCAGGCTTCACAGCAGATGAGCGGGTCAATCAGGGCCACTTGAAGTGGTTTCAATTGACGCGACCAAGGTGGAACACAACATTGGCCACTGGTCACTGGTCGTACCGAGTTAACACTCGAGGCCGCAGATGGAGACGAGTGGCGTGGTTGGACTATCCAGACGTCCCTTGGCCACGCAGATCCGTTGTGTTGAGTTGCTTTGTAGAGTAATTATTCGGATTCCACCGAACCCGCAGTTGATGGACCATAGAACTGGAACATGATTTGAAAGCATCTCAGGGTTTGTTCTCCACACTTCCTGGGTTTACGGGTAATAGGCTGAACTATATATTATACTCTTCCGAGCAAAACACCGCATGAAATTAGATTTGAGAATTGGAGAGCCTTCATGTAGGACCAACTCCCAAACAAGCCTAATGCAAACAAAACCTGATTTGGTGGAAACTGTGCAGAGTTGCAGCTCAGGTCTCCTCAAGGCAAGTTGTTTTACCATCACATCGCCTCCAACACGTCTCAATGGCACTGGACCTCAGCGTGGGACTGCGGGTTCATTTGGAGTATAGCAACGTGAAGACATGTCCACCGATTCCGACAACGCCAATAAAAAGGGATTTGGATGTTTTGGCCATTCCTTCACTTGTTCCCAGTAGCGAACATTGTTTCTAATAGCTTCTTGTTACTACTAGTAAGGCAATTGTTACTAGAAGCGATGCACTTGTTCCTAGTAGCTTATTTTTGGCCATTCCTTCACTGAAGGTCGGTCTCAGACATGCCTGGAAAGCCGGAGATAACTTGCAACAGATTCCCCCATGGAACCCACCACGATGTCGCCGACCCCCCAAAAAGGAACGGAATCAATTCATTCTTCCGCTACGAACGGGACTCCTGGCATCGCTACGAACGGAGCGATCGGACTCTACGAACGGGGCTCCTGGCCTTACTAGTGACAAGAGGACGCTACGAACGGAGCAAAGGGCATCGCTATTGTTACTAATAGCTTCTTGTTACTACTAGTAAGGCACTTGTTACTAGTAGCGATGCACTTGCTACTAGTAGCTTCTTGTTTCCAAATCAATTCTTGTTCTTAGTCTCTCGCTCCGCTCACCTGTCGGCTCCAGCCGGGTGGAACGAAGAACTACGCTCGATCCGAAGAGACGCCATGCCGCACGTGTTTAACTACGAGACGAAAGAGTTCGAGCAGGTGCACTACAACAAGGCCGAGAAATGTTGAATTTAACAGCAGGAAAGGTCAAGCTGGCCTTGATGTCCAGAAACTTAAAATCACGGTTGAGAAGTGCTTGTTTGGAAACAGGAAGCACCACGTGCTTGCAAAAGACGACAGGGCACGGAAGCACTGAGTTCAGAATGTATAGTGATTCAGAAGTTCACCTCTTCAAAGATAGACCATGGAGTTGATGTCTTTACAAGCCCTTGGCTCTTGGAGGGTTGTGCACACATGCTTCAAATCGCCACGCAGGTGCCTCAGCGTCCCACCAGGCAGGTCGCAGGGAGAAGAATCGTTGTGACCCTGAGGTTGGCACATGTTGGCGCATGCTTTTGTTTGGAAGGGTCGACATTCGTTTTTTGTGCTCATGTTACCGTGGCCGAAGTGGACTTCTTATGGTTTGTCTAGAGCTTCGAGTGCTTCGGAACTGGTTTCAGCTGGAGTTGGATCAGCTCATGAGAGACGGAGCAACAAATCTTCCGTGGTAGGATGGCACCTGACAGATTGATCTTGTGGCATAAGTGCAGCCTCTACTACACTTCAAGTATCGCAAATACTAGTGAACGGTCGCTAAACAATGCAGGTGGGAACAGAGCCCGTTCATGGCATGAAGTTCCAAGCATCTGGGACTGAGCCTTGTGCTTTGGCGCCAGGGCAGTGAACAAGCGCCAGCGCACCAGCGAGAGCATGAAGTTCCTGTTGGCACAGGCAACGCAACGCTACGTGGATTCAGGATATTGCTAAGGTCCTGTTTAAACTTCCATGGATTCGAATTTGCGGTGGTGTAGAGCTACCAAGAAATGAAAGCATTGCCGGCATGTAGTAGCTGCACTAGTGGTGGTCTGGTCATGGAAAACGTGGCCACAAGACGACTGATCAATAAGACGACTGTTCAATTGGTCCCCTTTGGGTTGGAGGCTTAGGTTGGAGGCCATCGCCAGTAGGTTGACCATGCTTGACCTGTGCTTCTTCTCTAACCGAACGCCCCGAACCAACGTTCGGTGTTTCCGTGAGGAGACTGCTCAGTCCAAGAAGGCCGAGGCGGTCCAATCGGTGGAGATGGGAATGAGAGGGAGCATTGCGTCCTTGTTCCTAAGTAGTACAGCCAGGAGCCCCGTTCGTAGCGTCCTTGCTCCTAGTAGCGATGCCCTTGCTCCTAGTAGCTTCTTGCTCCTAGTAGATTCCTTCGCTAATTTTTATTCTAATTACTTTTAATTCTATTCGTCTTGTTACTAGTAAGGACCTTGTTCCTAGTAGTAAGGCCAGGAGCCCCGTTCATAGCGTCCTCTTGCTCCTACTAGCTTCCTTTAGGAATTTGTTTTCTGTTATTTGTCTTTTCCATTTGACCATTGAGACCTGTCTTTCTTTTTTCCTTCTTTTCATATAAAGGCACTACTTCGGGTTGATTTGTTGTTTAATACGAGGTCAGCAGAATAGATGGGTGTTGTAAAGTCTGCTTGAAACATGATGTGTAAAAAGCCCGAGCTGGGCGAATAGTCGAAAAAACGATTCTTCGCCCAGCGCCTAGCAGCTTAGCGACAAAGACCAACCCCTTGCACTCTCCACTCGTTTCCGACAGGTTTGACACATCCGTTTGAAAGAACAGACACGTTTCCCAGAGCGCCTTCCATGAGCTCGCCAGGCTGGTGCCAAGTTGGAGGCGTCCTTGAAGGATTGAGAGAGGTGACTGGCGAGTCAAGATGGCTACGGTGAGAAGAAGAACGCGGCGTGCAGAATTGCGACAGGTCTTAGTTGAGTCACAGTTGGAAAGCGACATGTCTCAGTACATCTCAGTACATGTCACAGTTCGGTGTATTCGACCGAGGCAAATGCCACCAGAGCTAAGCCCGGTGCTTGGAGAGTCTGGTGCCCAGGAGCCGTTTCACGTTTCACACCACAGACCGGACGGAGAAGACAGAATTCAAAGCGCGGGTTGGTTTAAGCCATAGCTTGAAAGTGGACGAAGAAACCTCTTTGACAGTACATGTTCAATTTTAGAAGGTCAACTTGGATGACATTCTGAAAGTCCGAAACGATGGATCGATTTTGCTTTGCGACAGGTGGAACAAGAATGATTGACCCAGTGATTGACCCTAGTTGACTGACATGCTGGCAATCACTCTCTGAACTCTTCGCCTCTTCACTATGCTTTTGCAAGTTGCGTTGCAAGCAGAGTGACAGAGATGATGCGAACGTCGAACGCAAAAAGCAAAGTCTCGAGGTGGACTCAAGTGTGGGATCTCAGCCGTAGTAGTGAGAACTCCACAGTACGTGACTATGGTCCATGTAGTGGAGGCTACAAACATGGAGTGTTTACTCTTGACTGTAACGATGAGAATGAGATTCTAGTGGCTTCCACTCTACAGATTGGAAACACTTCTCCACGATTCTGGCAGATCACCGCAAGTGAAAGTGTTTTTTTCCATAAGTGCATCGCTATTAGCAACAAGGTGCATCACAACTAGTGTAACACTAGTGTTACTGGCAACTAGTAACAAAGTGCATCACAACTAGCGATGCACCTTGACGACTTGGAAGAGATGGTGTATCGTTTTCTACCTTTCGCGCTTGTTCGCTCTGCCGGACCGGATCTTGACACTTGAACAACAGCTTGTCTCGGATGCTGAACTTGAGGTGGAAGAGGATGGCAAAAGGCGTGGAGCTTGACTTTGTGAGTTGCTCTTCATTTCGGAAGGGGTTGGTACGTTGGTAGTTTCCCTGGTGCAGCTTGGATCATAGTGTTATCGTGAGGATAGCATCTAGAGACTGGTGAATGACCAAGTCATCATGCAGTGGCAGGTACTGGAGGAATGAGAAGCTTGCCGTGTCCTCTTGGAAGGACACTGGGAAACATGCTTCGGTTGTCAAAGACATCAGCAAGAACTAAGGCCCAGGACAAGTTGGAGTTATAGTTATATATCTATGCTACATTTATAGTTTATAAATACATAAATGCAACAGTTACTATCAAATCCAATAGAAGTGGCTCAATACCACGGCGGTGCGTGCCCTAACTTTCTTCGAAGAACGGAACCAGGATTTCAACTCAGCTCACTCCAGGAGTCGAACCACTAAGCGGCATTAGAAACAAGTGCCCCGCTAGTAGTAACAGGTGCCTTACTAGTAGTAACAAAAAGCTATTAGAATTAAAATTTAAATAGTGTCTTTCTGACCTGTTCTATCAAAGAGATGACGATCACGAGTCACAACAGCGGTTGCAAGGCATAACTGGGGGTGAGATCCTCACCTTCGAGGTTCGAGAGCCGTTTGGGGTGACCAAGGTATGACTGGGCTTAACGAAGAGTAGCTGATACTAAGAGTAGCTGATGATTTTTCCTCGGCCTTTGCCCGTGCCTCTATGACTTCACATCATCATCATCATCATCATCATCATCATCATCATCATCAACCTGCTTTGATGGCCACAGGACCCTCGTCGAACCACCAATCTTTTCCAGGCCAAGAGTTGCCGACGTGCAGAGAGTTGAGTATGTGGGTCAGAGCTAAGCGGCTAAGGCAGATGATCCATCTTCGGGTCTTCCACCAAATCTTGCTATACACAGCTAACAGGCCTCACCAGGCTCAGTGCGACAGGGTGGGGGTGCCGCCCGGGTCGCCCAGTACCACTGCCCAGGCGGCGTTGGATGGAAACCTCTTTTTCCTTCAACTCTACACAGAAGTTGGAGGGTTCTTAGACGCAGCTCCTCATCTGCAGCATGATTCTGGTGGATGCTTTGATGCTTTGTCAGTTCGTCGTTTTTTTTTTTAATGGTTTACTATAATATTATATATGTTTCTTCTTTCAGGAACTACGCCCTACAAACAGGTGAAAAATACAACATTCGGTGAAGCTCCTCTCACGACGCACAAACTTGCCAGGTCGACAGCAAAGGCCGGACGGCTTTGCACTACAACTGCGCTGGAGGCTCTGCGCAGGCAGGAAAGCTTGAAGAAGAGCAATGAAAATGGTCCAAAGCCTCCGGCTTGAGGATGGTTGAGCTTGTTAGTGTTGCGGGATGTTTAGTTTGATGTTCAGGTGCTGGTTGAACATGTTCAGTTGTTTGCTTAGGCCCCATTAGGCGTCGGTCCATCATTTGTGGCCGAGAATTGTGGGGTGCTTTGGCGTTACCTCTATATAGGACCTGCAGTGACTCAGACATGTGTTTGAGTATATTTGCCCTGACAAAGCAATGCTGATATAATAGAGGACGCTACTAGGAGCAAAGGGCATCGCTACTAGGAGCAAGGACGCTACTAGGGGCTCCTGGCCTTACTACTAGGAACAAGAAGCTAGTAGAAACAATAGAGGTTGACATTTAAACACCGAGATGGGCCCCTAATAGTTTCTTGCTCCTAGTAGTAAGGCCAGGAGCCCCTAGTAGCTTCTTGCTCCTAATAGCGATGCCAGGAGCCCCTAGTAGCGTCCTTGCTCCTAGTTGACAGTAGCAACACCACAATGAATGTGCAAGTTCTTTAATGTGTGATTGAACCTGGTCAACAAGCTGTAAGTTGATACAAGTTCACGAATCGGATATTGTTTGTTGAAAGTCCTGTGAATTCCAGCACTCTTAAGCAGGCTCGCCTTGTCATTTCAGGCCGTCAACTACTTGCTGCAGCATGGCGCTAGCGTAGATTTGCTGGATCGTTCAGGCGAGCGAGCACATACCAGGACCACTGATGCGGGGTATAGCGAGGCAATGCGAGACACATAGAATTCTAAGCAACATGAGCCCGCCTTTTGTTTTTGAGTTAATCGCTGAGGGTCCGCAGTCATTGCCTTGAGGTTTCAGTTGCATGGCTTGATCACCTTGGGCATGGCTTGGAATAAAACATGCGATTCAAGCATTTTGGTGTGTAGAAGCGCTCGGTCAAGTTGATCAGCCGATCTTGTCCAAGACTTTTGCAGCTTTGTGATCCGCGAGGTTCCACGCCCTTGCACTGGGCTGCACGCTATGGTCACGCACCGATTGTAAGGCGATGGCGTCTCATGCCCTCGACATCATAAAAACGTGATGGCCTCCAACCTAGTAGCTTCTTGCTCCTAGGAGCGATGCCAGGAGCCCCTAGTAGCGTTCTTGCTCCTTAGTAGTAAGGCCCTAGTAGCTTCTTGCTACTAGTAGCTACTTGCTCCTAGTAGCTTTTTGTGCTCCATTCCGATCTCAACACGACTTTACGCACTTGAGCCTTGTCCCACCACCTTGTGAGAAGCTTCTACGCCAAGGAATGTATCGCTTACGGAAGACAGTCTACGTAGTTCTTAGCACTTGAGACACGGACGCACTTGCTGGACAGGATAACAAAACTATTCAAGGGGCTTTTCAGTTCAAGTATCCAAAGGTCATCCACGATTTTGCGACGGACAGGACAACTGCATCCCCTAAGCCGCTTGGGTAGACCAACTAATAAAACGGAACACGGCAAGGAGGTCGACCTTTCAAAGATGTGATGTGATCAACTATCAACTACTCATTAATTATTCCCTGCAATGTGCACCATCTGTCTTGTTCACGCCAAGTGGATAGGCGGAGTGCAAAAGACACAAAAGGAGCACGGACGCTACTAGGGGCTCCTGGCCTTACTACTAGGAGCAAGGACGCCACTAGGAACACGCTTACAATTTGTCTCTATATCGTGAGACAAACATCTCCACACCCTGAGGGTCGTAACGAGTTTCGTCATCCCTTCCTACTGGTACTAAATCTCAGTTTTTTTTCTACCCTACGTCTCTTCGCCTTTGCAGGCTGCTGCTGGAGTCCAAAGCGCATCCAGATTACCAAAACAGCATGGGCGACACCGCGATGCATGAGGCCCTCGCCACGACATGGAAGAACGAGGGCCGACCACGGAGATCGTAGGAATCCTTGAGATTTATAGTAGCGTCCTTCGCTCCTAGTAGCGATGCCAGGAGCCCCTAGTAGCGTCCTCTTGCTCCTAATAGCGATGCCAGGAGCCCTTACTAACTTCCGTTCTAATTGAACAAACAAACACCTTAGACCATCATGTCTATCATCCATGTTCACCTCCATGTTCGCTGTGTGACACGCCAGGCTGCTGCATTAGGGCTTCTCGAGCCATTGCAGTGGCTGGTGCGATGCTTCACCGGGTGGCTGTTGAGACCTCCGAGAAGCGTTAACCATTGGGGTGTCACAGAAGGAAGGTGTTTTGCTGTTCAGCCTACATACGCACACATCCAGGGTGGTGCCCTTAAAAGGAAAACCAGCCAAGGTGACACTGCGGTATTGTGCAATCAATAGTAGTAGTAGTAGTAGTAGTAGTAGTAGTAGTAGTAGTAGTAGTA